TCCTTCCACCACCCCAGGGGGCCCGCCCCTCCCGGGTGAGATGCCAGCGGATGAGCAGAGAGGAGGAACAGAGGAGAGGTCAGCTCAGCAGAAAGCGCTTGGGCGGCAGGGGTGAGCGATGGGTGGGGTCTACGCTGCCCCCCCCCCGTGGGAGTGCTGGCGGCCCTTCTCCCCACGACCCTCAGAGAGGGCCCTGCACTCAGCTGCTCCTGGCTGCGCTGGGCCCGGCCCCCCCTGGGCAGAGTGGGGAAGGCGGAGAGCAGCCAGGAGGGTCCTGAGAAGTGGCCTGCGCCCACCTCGGGAGCCCTGGCTTCTGCGTCCACAGTGGGCCTGGTCGCTGCCTCCAAGGCAGCTCCGGGGACCCTTCCTCATGGATTGTGGGGCTCTGTCCTGCCTTGGGAAGGGTCTTGGCACAAATACTCCCCCTGGGTCAACGTCCCAGACCTTCCCTGGGGGTGGGGTCTGCCCTGAGGCGAGGGCGGTGCAGTACCTTGATCCCGTCCACTGGGTTATGAATGACGGTGGTTTGAGGTTCCTACAGGAGAAGGAAGCACAGAGGACGGAGAGAGGGGGGTGAGAGAGGGGAGCTGGCCCCACAGCAGGAGCCTGGAGAGGAGGGGAGGGTGGCACAGCGGGGGATGGAGGGGACCGCAGGGCGCAAGCGAGACTGATGGAGGCGAGGGGCCCAAGGAGGAGGTGAGAAGACGCAGGCTGGCGTGGGTGGGGCCCAGGCTTGAAGGTGACATGGAGGTCCGGTGGCACACGGATGGCTGGCTGCGAGGCCACCTGTAGGACCCTCCCTTCCTGGGCCCGGGCCGCCGCCGCCAACACACTGGATGGCCATTTGGCAAATCCAGTCTTCTCGTGGGCGGTCTGGGGCTGGCTCCCAGAAGCGGGGCCTGGGGCTCGTGGGGTCACCAGACGTGCTTCCAGCAAACTCAGAGCCTGCGGACCAGCCAACCCTGACCTGCTGAACGGCCTGCCCCACACACGGCCTGGGCAGAAGGGCCAGTGTCCACCAGCCATGACTCAGAACTCCCCAGGCGAGGCCAGAGCCAAGGGTCCCTCTGGCCTTGTGTCCCCCCCCCCCCGCCCCTCCCTCTGGGCAGCCACAGGCCAGTGCAGCCCTGCACCTGTAACCCAAGTCTGCCTTCAGGTCTGCAGGATTCCACTTTGATGGGAAACCACCAAGGGGGGTCTCTGCCTCCCTCCAGATCACCGGGAAGGCTCACAAGCTAAAACCAGCCCACCCTTCGTCCTGACAGAGACCAAGGCCCCACCTCTCAGATGTGGCTCTCGGGAGGGGGCTGCGGGCAGGACCCCCACTGCCCATCTTCCCTGCAGCCTGGCTCTGGGCTCTGGGCCTCCTGAAGACCCACCAGTGAGCATCGTGGGACGCTGGCCTGTCCCCTGCTGCCGAGAGGGGCTCTGACAGAACCCCCAGAGGCTGACCCCACAGTCGAGGGGGCGGTGGGGCCTGAAGGGGTGCCCGTCAGAGGCAGGCTGGGAGCCGGACCCCACCTTTACCCCAAGCCTCCTGACAGGCAGGGTCCAGGAGGGCTGGAAAGTAGGGGGCTGAGGGGCTCAGTACCAGAGCGGCTGGAGGAAGCGTCCCCTTGGGGCTGGTGGCTGCACTGTTCTTGGTGCTATTCGTCTGGGGCTGTAGGGGACAGACAGAGAGAGGAGCCATTAGGGGGAGAGTGGGGGGACCACACCCCTTCCTGGGCTCTGCTCTGTGGGACCCTGGGGGTGGGGCCAAGCTGAGGCCTCACCTTGACTCCATCTGCTTTCTTGTTGAGGAGACTCTTGGCTGCTGCATTGGGAGGAAACAGCATCGTGAGTGGCCTGTCCCGATGCAGCCCCACCCCCAGTGTGAGGTGGCCCTGAGGGCCTGCAAGGCAGTGGGCTCCCCAAGAGCAAGTGAGGGGGCGGCTCAGGGTTCTGAGGCAGGGCTGTCCTGGGTGGACCCATTGGGAGATCCAGCCAGGGCTGCTCGAGGACCCTCGTCCCCGGGATAGGCCCTTCTCCTAACCATCCTCCATGACCTGGGCACACAGGCTCTGGGGGGAGGAAGGTGGGGACACTGGACGGGGCGCCAGGCTGGGTTGTGAGCTCCCTTGTAATTCTCCATGCTCTCGGCGGGGCGGCGGGGCTGTAGCTGGCCACCCGCGCAGGGAGGGGCTTGTCCCAACCCCAGATGTCTGCCTGTGCTCAGTCTGCTGGCCCTCTCCTGGTGGACGGGACGCAGAGCTGTGCCCCTGGCTCTGAGCCCCGAGGGGCAGCCTCCCCCTGAACAGGACCCTGTGGGCGCAATGCAGGCCTCTCTGCCCACCCACCAAGGACCCTGGGCTCTGAGTGGGGTCCACAGGATGACACATGGGGTAGGGTCCAAAAGGCCACCAGCATCCCAGGCTGTCACCACCCCTCGGACACAGGCTGGCCCTGCCTCCACGCCCTGGGCCCCCACCGTCCCTCAGCGCCCCCAGCACCTGTGCCCTCCACAGAGGTTCGTTTTAATTACACAACTGGAAAAAACAGGAAGTCAGCTTACCTTACAAAAAGGAAAGGCGAGGCGGGGAGAAGAGGGAGTGAGGAGAGGAGAGAGAGAGAAAACAAGGTGTGTCAGTTCAGGCAGAGCGCAAGTCTGCGCCCGGGACCCGCGGTGCGTCCTGCCCGCCCTGCCCACTGGCCAGGCAAGCGGTGCGGGTTAGAGAAGCGGCGGAGGGCCCGGGCCCCAGGCCGGGAAGGAAGGTGGCACAGCCCCCACCGCCAGCCCCAGAGGCTCCAGCTGGCCAGCCCTGAAGGGAGGTGCTCCTGGTCAGAGGGACAGGGTGGCCCACAGTGGGCCTGGGCCAGAGCCTCCTGTCCGCGAGGATCCCTGGAGGCCACTGCCTCAGGCCGGCGCAACAGACAGGCTGGACACCTAGACCCAGAGAGGTGTGGGATCCCCCTGCGGGCAGCGTGAGCACTGCCCGGCCCCCAGACCTGAGGCAGAGACTTGGGGTGTGCTGGCATCTGCTCAGCAAGCCCTCTGAGGGGGTCCTGAGGCTGCTTCACATTGAGAAGCTCTGGTGAGGACCCCTAATGCAGTGAGCAGGTTGGGCCGCGGCCGCTGGGCTACTGCCTGCTGACCACCGTCCTCCCTGTCCAGGTGCCCAGCGCCACCCTCGGGGCTCCTCAGAGGCCCTGCGGGGCCATCGAGCGGTGCCGTCCTGAGCACGGTTTCAGGTCCCAGCCTCCTGTCTCCACAGGAACCTGTCGATCTCTCAAGCTTCCCTCCCAGGATCCACCAGGCAGAGCTGAACCAGCAGCCCGGCTCCTGGCCTGTCCCTCCTCCCACACCCCCCGTGGGCCCCACCCGGGCAGCTGGACTCAGGACACCCTGCAGCCCTGCCCTCTGCGTCCCAGAACCGGAAACACCACCTTCCTGAGGCCACATGAAACCTCCCCTGGTGGCAACTAAAATCGGTCATCCTGTCACTCACCACAGGGGGGGGGACAGGCCAGCCCTGCAGACACGAACTTGGGTCTCCCTGGCCTTCTGATGAGCACGGCCCCGCGCCTCCCCACTGACCTCGCCTCTGCTCATCCCCAGCTCCAGCACACAGGGACAGTCCCACTTCCCCTCCAGTGGGAGTCGTCTGAGTTCGTGGAGTCCAGGGACCCTGTCCGAGCTAGTGGACCAGCTGGCCAGACCCAGGGCCTGGAGGAAAGAGGCATCCAGCCCGTTTTGAAGGCACTTGTCCTGGAGGCTGAGCAGGCAGGCAAGCTGACCCCCACCCTCCAACTTAAGATGGGCAGGTGTGGGGAGAGCCGCCCCCCAGTGCACGTGGCCTTGGTCAGCGGCAGACCCAGCTGGCTCTGCGTTAGGATCAGCGCAGGCCCATGTTGGTCTGAGAGGTCCCGCCGGGGGCCAGCCCAGTGTCCCCTGGCAGAGATGGGGTCGGTTCTGCCCAGTTCTTCCCTTGAGCAGGAAAGGAAGCCACTGGGTCCGGCTCCCGGTGGAGGCAGGTGGGGACTCTGGGACGGTCCTGAGTCTTAAGAGGGTCCCCTTCAGTCTCTGATTCTATAAAAACCTGCATTCAGACTGCGCCACTCAAGACACTAACAGTTCTGCTCCCTAACCAGCCGCCGCCCCACCCCAGGATGCATACGGCCAGCGCCCTGGCCCAGTCCCCAGGCAGACACCTGTGTTCGGCTCGATTTCCCAGACACCCCTCCCCTTCAACCCGCACCGCGCATCTGAGTGCAGCTCCCGGGGAGCCGTATTTCCTTGAGATTCGCATCCCTGTCCTGGAGTGACTCCAGGATCTTGTTGGACTCCTGTCTACACTAGCAGGCTTTCTCAAGTCAAATGCATGATTACCAAGCAGGAGCTGAGGGGGCCGCGGAGGCACACCCGCCCCAGACCCCTTCCAGACAAGCAGAGACGGCCGCCCCGCCCCGCCCACCAGGAGTCCTCAGGGCCAGGCCACCACTGCTGCCACAGCTCTGAGTCCCTCAGTGAAGGCCGCGTGGACCTGACCAGGACCTCGATGAACAATGACATCTCTACAAAGACGTCGGTCTTCCACTGGCCACGGGGTGCTGTGCTGCCCACGGAGAAGCGACGGCCTCGGAACTGAGACCCCATCTGTGTGTCTACTGGGCTGACTAGCAGGGGAGGTCCCTTAGCCCACAGGGCCAGCCTTTGCCTCATCCCATAGCTGGTCACCCAGGGACAGCCATGCTGGGCTCTGTCCGCATGCACTGACCCCCCCACCCCCCGCTCCCGGACAGAGCGGCCCCCGGCGCCCAGGCGGAGCCACACATGCACCGGCCTCATGCAGCGACGCCCACATCCACTTGGAGGCCGGAGCCTGGCAGGGAGCTGCTCGGGCACCCGCCTCGGTCCCTGCGCTGGGTGGCAGGGCTTCACCTGGAGCCCCTGAGCTCACGTCCCAACCCCTGCCCCTCCCCTCAGGTGCTTCAGAAAGGCTTGGAAAATGAGGCAGATTCAGGACGGGCCTCTGGGGCCTGCCTGCCAGCCGTGTCCGCCCCAAGGATGACCCTGCCCTGAGTGCCCAGGAGGAGGTGGCTGGGAACGCTGGCTCCTGGTCGAGCAGGCAGGCTGTGCAGCCTGTGGGGTGGGAGTCAGGGTGGACGTGCAGGAGTGAAAGGGCCTGGGCCTGGGAGGACACGGGGCTTCACCCCGGCGCTGCAGCCCCGGGAGCAGCAGAGCCGGACCTCAGCTGCGGCTGCCCACCCTCAGCACGGGCTGGGGCCGTGGGCTCTTGGTGAGGAACGGGGTCCAACATCCCTGTGGGGTCTGGCTACGGGCACAGTCAGGTACACAGGAGCTGGCCTGGGCCTCTTGGGAGGCCAGCCCCCCACGGCCCAGAGGAGCAGGCTGGCAGAACCAGCGTCTCCCCTCATGGGTTTGGGACGAGGCGAGGCGCTCCTTGTAGAAAGAACCAAGAGGCCTTCAAAGTCGTTTGAAGGGCAGCCAAAGGCCCCCGGCCCGGTGCTTGCAGGGCAGACACGCATGTATGAGACTGGACACCGACTGGCTCTATGTGAGTGGCCAGGAGCAACAGTGGGTCCTGGGGGCAGGGGCGGGGGTGGGCCAGGCAGGGTGACGCGGCTGGCAAGCAGCTCTGGGGGACAGGGTCTCTGCCTCTGTGCCCTTAATCCGGGGACCGCCCAGTCAGGACTTGGACCCCCAGCAGCAGCCCCGAGGCTTCCTGTGGGTGGTCAAGGTGATTCGGAATGAGGATCATGATGGACAAGTGGGGAGAGCTTCAGAAAGCAAAGGGCTCGGACCAGAGGGGTCTCCTGACCCCCAGACTCTGGGGCCAGGACCGGGGTGGGGGTTTGGTAAATGCATGTGGGGCAAAGCACAGTTTATAAGTCACCTAGCCTGGCCCTCCTTTAATAGGTGGGGCCTGAGGCCCCAGGGACAGTGGGAGCTGCCTCCCTGCCCTCGCGGGGGGCTCTGCGGGGGCTCCCGGGGCCTCTGGGGCGCCTCTCGAGGCCTGGCTGGCGGCTGCGAGCAGTGAGGGGAGCTGCATGCCGACAGGCGGGCACTGGTCCGAACATCTACCTTGTTCCACCAGCCCCATGGTGGTGCCGGAGGCCGCGGTGGACATTGTGGCCGGAGCGGTGGTCTGTCTGCCCACTGTTAGCACCGGGTTAGAGATGAGGGGAGGGGCGGACACAGACGAGGGGTGGGCGAGGTGAGGGGAGAGAAGAGACAAAGGAAGCAGAAGAAGATTAGAGTCACGGTTTAGGTGATGCTGGTTCCAGAGCCCCTTTCACAGGAGAGCGACAACAAGGTGGAGACCAGTGACATTTGAAAGCATTTGCCTCCTTTCTCCTTAGAAAACCCCAGCGGGGCATGAAGACAGGACGCGTCCTGTGAGTGTGGGAGTGACAGCATGCCCTGGTCTGGCAGCACAGTACCACAGCAAAAGAAACAGGAGGTGCCGGATGCAAACAAACAGTGAGCACGGGTCACAGACTCCCGCGTGAGTGTCACGGGTGACAGACAAGCCACAGGACAGGGAGTGGGAGGCCGGCCCCACTCAGGTGACGCTACCCCTGGTGGGCCTGCTAAGGCCCTTGGCCTCAGGGTCACTGACAGACACCCCTTCTCTCCCCCTCCTCCCCCCCCGCTGACCCAAACAGCCGCATGTCCCCAGACCTGCCCACCCTCAGTGACCTGGACGGGTGGCCACCAACACATCCAGAGCTCAACAGAGAGGCCCTGGGCCCTCCTGTCACCTCCCCCACACAACAGTGGTCAGAACTTTCAGGACAGCGACAGGCCACGGAGGTGCCGGCCGACACCTGGACAGACACAGGAGCTGCGGCCGGGCAGCGGGCAGCATAGACACTGGGGGGCAGGTGGGGACACAGAGACCCAACACACAGGGACGGGGCATATGCCGGGGGGGCCTCTGGAGCAGGGCAGGTGGGCGCAGACCCTGCAGTGTTGCCCTTGGAGGGTCCCAGAGGGCAGCAGGCCAGCCCAGGGCCGGCAGCAGAGGAGGGGGGCCAAGGGGGCTGAGAAGGGCAGGTGGCTGGCGGTGGGCCACGCTGAGCCTTCCTGGAGAAGGTGTCCTCACCTGAGAAATTCCGCGTGGCCAGCATAGTGGTGAGGATGGCGCCCTGGGGAGAGACACACAACTGAGGCCGGGCTGTCTGCAGGCCAGGAGACCCCTGCCGGGCCTCAGCCTGGGGTTGGCTGGCAGGACTCAGCAGCTGTGCCCAGGCAAGCCACCCACTTTCAGAATTAAACCAGTGACACACCCTGGGCCCTAAGCTGCCCACTGACCACAGCTTCTAAAGCTTCAAGACCCCTGGGGGCCTCTCCCTGACAGGCACGTCCATACATGCTTGGCCCAGAGCGGTGCCAGGTGGCCCCCTCCGCCTGAAGCAGCAGTCACAGAGGACGTGTCAGCCTCCGTCAGGTCAGCCTCCCTGCCCAGTGCCACCTCCCTCCCGGCCCCGCCCCCCCAGCACTAAGGCTGCCGTCCTCACCACACCTGGCCTGGCCCCGGAGCTTGGCAACCTGCTCACTCTAGGCGAGTATGGCCGAGCAGAGGGCCCCAGGTGTGCGGCCCCAGGAGCACCTGGAAGCCAGGCCCGCATTGGGGCACCTGTGTGTTGTTGCCATGGGGGCACCGAGTCCATCTGACACGTCTGGCCTGGGACAGTGCCGATGAGCAGCCTGTCCTGGGGGCTGGGACCCCTGCAGCTTCCTCACCCCATCCCAGCTTGGGGACCCCAGGCAGGCGAGCACGTGGGGGCCGGTGCTGGGGCCAGTGTCTCACCTTGAGCTTCCTCCGGGCGTTGAACTTTTTCAGGCACTCCACGGTCTCCTGCCTGTGCATCATGGAAGCCACCGTGGAGCGTTGCTGTGGGGAGAGGGGCGGTCACACACTGCCAAGAGCCCCACGGGAGGCCTGAGAGGGCTCAGGGAGAGGCTCAGGGCAGCAGGCACCGAGGCCCCCAAACCCACCAGCATGTCCCAAGCCGCAGGCCACGCAGCACCCGGGACACCTGGGAACCCATCAGGTGTGAGGAGAGGACCCCAGGCCAGCCCGCCAGGTGGGTCCAGGGCCAAGGCCACTTACGCAGACCCACGGGTGCTTCAGGGCCTCGTGTGCGGTGATGCGCTTGGCAGGGTTGATGGTCAGCATCTGGTTAATGAGGTTCTTGGCTTCAGGTGTGACGGTGTCCCATTCGGGGGATGGGAACTAAGGAGGAACCAATGCACGATGGATGCAGCAGGCAGAATTCTCCGAGGGGTCCCATCCCAGCTGTGACCCAGGAAGCAGGCAGTGTCCCCCGCCCCTGGCCTCTGGGTCAGGAGGGCCCGGCACTCACGTCGTAGGCCCCGGCCTTGATCTGCTGGTACAGTTTGTGCTGGTCCTCGTCCCAGAAGGGCGGGTAGCCCACAAGTAGGATGTACAGGATCACCCCTGGGGAGCCGGGGGCACAGGCTCACATCGCTGTCCCCCCAGAGCAGCCAGCCTGTCTCTGCGCCCCACGGAGCTCACATGTGCAGCCACATGCCAGTGGGAAGACACTACAGGAGGTGTCAAGTGTGTGGCCCCCAGGGGTCAGGTGTCCAGCTGCAGCACCCAACAGCTGTGGGGCCCTCAGCCAGTTCCTTGGCCTCAGCTAAGATGGGTACCAGCCTGAAGCCAGTGAGCCTGAGGGCACTGGGGACAGCCAGTGTCAACAAGTGTCACTGAGACCCTCGCGTTGGCAGAACGCTACCCACAGCTCCAGCATCTCTGCCCACCCTCACCCTACCTCACAGGGGAGGCTCAAGGCCGGCCCCCTCCCCTGCAGGACGCCCCTGCCAAGAAGGCAGCCCGGCCAGGGTGGTCTGCACACCCCCAGCATCTGCTGCTGCTTCTGGCCCAGGCACTGCTGAGTGCAGGGGGGTGAGCTCAGCGACAGCCAGGGTGGGGAGGGCTCAGCCCCGACCCCGCTACCTCCACGCCCCCCCCCACCCCGCCCTCTGGCCTCACCGCATGCCCAGATGTCCACTGGCTTGCCATACGCCTCCTTGCGCAGCACCTCTGGGGATAGGTAGCCTGGTGTGCCAGCAAACCCTAGCCAGAGGGGAAGGGTGGTGTGAGCAGCCTGGGGGGCAGCTGAGCCCCACCCCGTCCCACCAGCCAGGCTCACCGAACCACGCCTGCTGGTCCCCCTGCACCTCGATGGCCAGGCCGAAGTCTGCCAGCTTCACTGCAGCCCCCTTGCACTTGCTGGCCAGGAGCAGGTTCTCGGGCTGTAGGGACGGTGACGGCAAGGCGTTCGTTTTACACCCAGGGGTCCCAGGAGGGGCACGAAACAGAGATGACAGCAGTTTGCAGGCGGTGCACAGATCTGACCCCACCATGTGGGTGTCCCCTGGCACGGCTACGCCTGTGCCCTGCGGACCACCCCACAGGGGCCCCAGCCCTGCCCGGAAAAGTTGGCTCTTGTGATGCCACTGGGATCCCTCAGACCCAGGACCGGGACCCGGGTGCTGAAACCAAAACTGAGTGCGCCCTACAAGCCTTGGCTGCCCCTTCGTAAGAGGGGCTTCCCTTCCCTCCGCGGTCTGGCTGCCCAGAGACAGGGTGAGAGGCTGCCTACTGGGGGCTCAAGTGCTTCCTGCAGGTCGTGACCCCAAGGGCAGGGAAGAATCACCAAGGCCTCCGAGGCCTGAGCAGTGCAGGACCTCCGCTCACCATGCCTGTGGGCTGGGGGCGGGGTGGAAGGGGCCTGTGTGTCCTGCCTGTAGGGGCAGCACCCGTGCTTGAGCTGGAAGAGCACTGGTCCCAAACGTGGGAGCTCCAGGGGGCGGCTGCACTCTGATTGGCCCCCAGAGCCTGCGGGGGGCCCTGTGTGCAGAGCCCTGTACTCCGGGTCCCTCCTAACCTCGGCCTCACCACCTCTCAGCCAGCAGCGCTCAGAGCTCCCCGCTGCGGGCGCTCCTCCCTGACCACTCCCCGGACGCTCAGCCCCTTTGGGACAGGCAAGCCCCCTGAGACCACAGCGCCACTTGTGGACCCCGGGCCTGTGACTTCTTTAGTAAAAGGGTGTCTTCGTCTTAAACAGCCCCGTCCATTGTCATGCACGTCTAGGCTAACACACCTTTGAAACGAGTGTGACCTCTGTCAAGGGAGCAGGCGCCCTGTACCCAGTCCCCACCTTGCTTTCTCCCCCCCACACCGTCTTCCTTGCCCCCTCCTTCATTCCAAATGCATAAAAGCTGCAAAACTGTCGCTCCCTGGAGCATTTGAGATCTTGCTCCCCAGCAATATCGTCAGTTTGGCTCAAATAAACTTGTGAGACTTCCTTAAGGTTTGGATGGTTCTTACGTTGACACACTTTAGTGCCACCAAGAAAGACAAACGCTGCAGGTGTTAGAAGGGGATGAGTGGCCCTGACAACCAAACAAGTGGCCACCCCACGCGGCAGAAACCAGAGCCTCTGACACACGCTGCGCCACACAGCCCTGCCTGTCCCACACGGCCTGGACACCCTCGAGAATCTTGATTTTGCCAGTGTGAGCGGGGCAGGGGCCCCCAACCTCCCCAGGCACCCCACATCAAGCAGTCTGAAATAGCGGGGGCAGGGCTGTCACTGGGGGCTTGACCTAATTCTACAGATCGCACGCCCTGCGTCCACCTGCCTCCCTCCAGCCTCTGAGGAGGTGACCTCTCTGCTGTCCCTACCCTCCTGCTTGGGCCAAGAGCAAGCCCAGCACAGCACTACTTCTGGGGGCCCTCCATCAGTGTGGGTGTCCTCTGCAGAGGAGGGACCGTCTGCTTTCCCGCCCCCGGCAGGAGGCAGGAGGCAGGCAAGGACTGCATTAGCCCCAGGCCACTGGCGGGCGGGGTGACCACCCATCTCCATTTTTGTGCTTTGGCCTGAACGCCAGCAGTCACTCAGGGGGTCTGGGAATGAGGCGGGATTGTGCCCAGCACCCCCAGAGGCCCTCACGTGAGGCCCATTCAGACAAGACAGTGACCAAGGGTGGGACAGGTGGGCGAGGCGGGGCTGGGCAGACAGGTGAAAGGACAGCTGTGCACAGAGGTAGCAGGACACATGAAGGCACAGGAGAGGGTCTTGGGCCTGCTCCTGGCATGACATCATCCCCGGGGCGGCCCCACAAAGATCAACGCACACGTGAACACCCCTCAATGGCCCCTGGAAGACGGGACCCCGTTCAGAGCCCACACCACGGGGACGTGGTCTCAGCCGCCACCTGTTGGTCTCTCAGCAGGAATGACAGGCCCAGGGACCCACCATCGGGACAAGAAGATGACCTAGCCCAGCTTGGATTGAAGCTGGAGTCAGAGGGCCGGGCAGAGGCCCTGGGCCCCGAGGGTGACAGACACTTCTTTGGAAAGGTCTGTAACCACTTTGCCCAGAGCTGAGCCGAGTGCCAGCTTGAGGAAGAAGCTGGCAGTTGGCAGAGACCCTGGAGGCTGGCCCTTCACCCTCGGCTCTGGTGGCACCAACCCCACCAACACGTGACCTGGGTCCCGCTTGTCCGCATCTCAGCGGGAGCCCAGAAGGTAAGGTCCTGAGTGGACACGTGCTCACAGACTGAGTTTTAACAACTGCCCCCTCAGCCCTGGAGCCTGGGGGCACTGTGAAGGGCGCGTGCAGACACACCCATGCGCACACACGCACACACACGCATGAGACTTCATGCACGTGTGCACAAGCACGTACACACGCCCCCCACGCACAGTCCCTGGGGCTGGCGCTGCCCGCCCAGGCCTCCTGTTACAGGACATGCAGGCACAGACGACAGACCCCTGGCACAGAGCGGGCGGGGACTCACCTTGAGGTCCCTGTGGACGACCCCCATTTGGTGGCAGTGGAGAACCGCCTCCAGGATCTGCTGGATACAGTGACTGCAGCAGACAGCACGTGCATTAGTGCGGGGGCCGCGGGGGGGGGTGCGGGGGGGGCCCACGGGAGCAGAGGCGCTGGCGAAGGGGCCTCCGGGGCGCCTCCCTCACCCCCAGGTCAGCACAGGCACAGCCAGGCCCCCTGGGCCCCTGCCTTCCCCCCTGCCAGGCCCACCTAATGACACTCACAGGAGACACCCCGCTCCCTGAGGGCCCCTCCTTAGCCTCCTGCTGGCCAATCCTGACACTGAGCTGGGTGCCCTCTGGGAGAGAGGCCAGTGCTGAGCCCGTGCCCTGCAAGGCAGGCTGGGGGAGGGGGGGTCTCAGGCAGGAACAGGAGAGGGTGGGCAAACGGGCACCTGGGTATGGGCAGTGCTGATGCTTCAGCCCTGGTCACTCATGTGCCAAAGCACGTGTCACTCTGTTTCAACAAACAAGCATCCACACTGGCTGCTGGTTGCCACACTGGACAGCCCAGCGCTGCAGCAGCTCTCCTGGGGGGCAGCCTAGCACTGCCCGGGGCCTGAGCCAGGGGCTCCCTCCAGGTTGGAAGCAGTCCCGCCTTCCAGGGTTTGACTCAGAGGGAGAGGTCCAGGCTGCCCCCAAGCACCTCCCACACCTGTGTCCATATGTCCCCTGCGCACACTGGACCCTGTGGCCTGAGCCTGCCTCCCCGGGTGGTCCCGGGTGTCCACACAGCTTCCAGCAGCCCCCAGAGCCACACCACCCCTGTAGCATTGCCAGCTATGGGAGACGGGAGGCCATAGGCCGCCTGGAACCCACCACCTGGGGTCTCTGTCCCAGCACCTCTGGACGGGGCGATGGGGGGACAGCAAGTTCCCTCAGGACCCCTCAGCCACTGCTGGACCCTGTGGAGTGACTGAGGGGAAACTGGAGGGTTGGGCTTTGTTTCCCTAACAGCAAACACGGAGAAGCGGGTGACCAGCCCTCTTCCTCAGAAAGCCGCGGCCACATCTGGAGGCCATCTGCCACCACAGGAAGCGTAAACCTGAGTCCCGCACGGACACCAGACCTCAGGATCCAGCGGTGACTGACTGCCGAGGGGTCAGCAGCCAGGCCAGCACCTGGGGCTGTCCCCTGCTCTGGACTCTCCTGCCAGGCCCACTCCCAGTGCCCTTATCTGAGCAGTCCTGTCCTTGTGTCCCCAGCTCCCGTCCTGCACCACCGCCCCCTCGTCCTGTCACTGCAGGCACGGCACGGCCCCCAGCGGCTGACCCTTCAAGCTGGTCCAGGGGCCTAGCTCGGGTGCGCAGAGCTCAGCCGAGGTCAGGACAGGTTGCTGGGTGGAGGCCATGCTCAGCCCCCAGTACTTGCCCCAGAGGCCGCTGACCAGGGCCCAGGGTGGCCACGGGCTCCCCCAGCCCTCAGGGCCTTCTCACTTGCAGACCCAGACTGAGTGCCGTGGGCTGTCAGTGCCCGCTGGGGGAGTCCAGGCACCGGGACCCCACACTGTAGCAGCCACACGGGGCTTGCGTGACCCAGGCTGAGGAGCCCTTCCTGCACTGCTGCAGCCAGACCCTGGCCTTGCCCAGGGGAGGGTTGCGGGCCCCTGTGGAACCCTGCCTTCCCACGTACCAGCGGCCTTCACGCCCCCTGGCCAGTGTTTCCCGGGCCTCTGGCTGCTCGCCAAGCCCTGCAGTGACAGTGACCCGGTTCCAACCTCAGACCTGCCCAGACGCTGCCAATACAGTTTTCAGCTTTGGGTCAAGTGGTCTTGTATTCGCCCTCAAGGCCTTGCCCTGCAGGACACCCTCCGGACCCTCTCACACTGTCCCGTGTGTGTGGGTGTCTGGGCAGCATGTCTCTGTACTGAACTGGTCTCTGTGACCACAGGGACGTGTCCATTCTCCCCTCTCGATTGTATTCTCAGCCCTCATCTTGGGGGAAGGTGTTTCCCAAATGTTTATTTGACCCGTGGATCTGGTTGCGGCAGCACCACTCACGTGGGCCCTGAGGGGGGTGGGCTGCACCCTCTGCCCTCCTCTGTGTCCCCAGCACCCCCAAACCAGCCCCCAGAGAGAGTGACTGCACTTGCTGAGCCAGTATGTGGTCTGCATGTGTCCTGAGCACCACGGGACGTGGCCTGTGTCACTGACAGCCAGTTCTGCAACGCTGTCCTGCCCAACCGTCCTATAGCCACCTTGATGGCTTCGCCCCCATGCCCCAAGAGCTGGCTAAGCAAACCAGGTTCCCCAACAGGAAACTGCAGGCTCCCCTGCCCCCATGGCAGGGCTGGCGGTCTCTGCACCTATGAGGGAATTGCCTTACATCCTGCAGGTGGACGGGACACCCACCTGCCTGGACAGCAGCCCATTCTGGGCAGCTCCACCCTCTGAGGACTTCTGGGGACAGCTCCTGGGACGCTCCTCCAAGCTGAGACCACAGCCTGAGGACACGAGGCCGCCTGGTCAGCAGCGAGGTCCTGCCTGGCTCATAACTTCTGTATCATCGTACCGTGTTCCTCGTGGGGCCATTTGTCATGTTACAAGCAATTTAGAAAGTCACTGTCATGGTCAGAATGGCCTCCAAGCAGCTGGCTGTCCCCACTTGGCTCCTGCACATGTCCTCACAGCTCCGGGCTCCAATGCCAGGCACACATGCCTCTCCTGACCTCCTCCTGGGGACAGCCAGCATTCTCACGGCCCCTTTGACCATCTCTCATGAGCCACATTGCTTTTTATGGTTTTGAAAATGGGTTCTAGGGCCGGCCGAGTGGCGCGATGGTTGGGAACTGTCTTGGGACGTCAGAGGGCCCCGGTTCGGATCCCACACATGAGGGCCAGTG